AAAAAAAAAAAAAAAGAAAAAGGATATATCTTGAATCAGCAAGATTCTTTGTTTATCGACGCAGTAAATGCGTGGCACAGAATCATTGGTTTATTGCCAAATGTGCGTGCTAAAAGCCAAGCCACTATCGATAAATTTGAAATTAAGGTTAAAAATAAACTATATTATACGTAAAAAAATTCATGTGTAACATTTAGCTGTATAGTGATTTAAGCCGCATGATTTTGATCGGCTGGCTAAGCCAGCCGATCAAAATTATGGCTAAGCGGCTGGCTAACGGCTGGTTAATACAATTGTTTTTACAGCTGTTTTTACAAATTCTGGACGTTTGAAAATTTTCTCGTTTCCTGAAATATCCTCGATCTCTTTTTAATATCATCTAACCTTTTATAAACTATTTCATTGTTATTGGAATTTTGATAAAGAGAGCGAAGCAGTTTCTAAAAAGTTAGGTGATTCTTTGAACAAGGTTTGGGAAACGAGCAAATTTTCAGAATTTATGGAAACAGATATAAAAAAATTTTTTCTTGAGTGCTCGATTTCAAAATCAACACGAATCCAAATAAAAATATAAATGCAGATGTTATAAAAAATAAGGATAGTTTATTTAAATGCACAGTCCACTATCGATAAACGAATTTTTGGGATTTTTTAATAAAAATTTTTGAAAAGTGTTATATGATTTTTTTTTTTTTTTTTTTTTTACTACGTAGCATACATATAGCGGATTTATAGTAAATTTTGAAATTTAAAATCTGTTACATCCCTTGTCCGTTATATACATGCCCATTATATCGATAGTTGACAATAAATATGAATCAATATTTGCTTGTACGTCCAATCAAATTAATTTATTATCATGTGATCTTCAGCCGCATTAGCCAGCTGATCATGTTGTATCGGGCTAGCATAGCCGGCTAAGCTGGCTTAGCCACGGCTATATTAGCCGGCTTAGATTACTTCATATAAATTATTTACAATTGTATAACCAAATATTTTGGCAAATTTATTGTTACACGAAGTATCGATATTTATACGTGGGTTAAAATAAATTAAATTTGGATTCAAATAACCAATTTCGGGTTCAAATGAACCCAAGCTGTGTTCAAATGAACCACAGCTGGGCTCAGATGAACCACAGTTGGGTTCAGATGAACCACAACCGAGTTTAAATGAACTACAACCAGGTTCGAATAAATATACATATATGTATTAAAATTTAGTTTGCGGCTAGTCAATTAGATAAAATAATTCAACGAACATGAAAAAAGAAAGATGTTTTCCGGCAAGCCAGACTTGAACTAGCGACCTAGAGATATCAGCGTTGAACAATGAGTTCACTACAGTCTCCCGCTCTACCAACTGAGCTATTACCGGTTTTATTATAAGAGATTTTTTTTCTTTTTGTTAAATAAAGGATATATCTTGAATCAACAAGATTCTAGCATGTCGATATAGTAAAATGCATGGCGCAAAATCATTGGCTTATTGTCAGATACGGCGTGCTAAAAGTCAAGCCACTATCAGTAATTGAAATTAAGGTTAAAAAGAAATTAAATTAGGCAAAATATTCAACGAACATGAAAAAAGAAAGCTGTCTTCCGGCAAGCCAGACTTGAACTAGCGACCTAGAGATATCAGCGTTGAACAATGAGTTCACTACAGTCTCCCGCTCTACCAACTGAGCTATTACCGGCTTTTGTTGTAAAAGACTTTTTCTTTTTGTTTAATAAAGGATATATATCTTGAATCAGCAAGATTCTTGTTTGTCGACGCAGTAAATGCGTGGCGTAAAATCATTGGCATATTGTCAAATACGCGTGCTAAAAGCTAAGCCATTACTGTTATTTGAAATTAAGGTTTAAAAAAAAAAAAGTGCTGCCAATTTTAGTGTTTTGGATCGGATCTGTGTTCATACCTATTCAGGACTTCATAAACAATTGTGACAATGAAATCAGATCAAAATGAAATCTTGTACGTATAGTGTAAAAAAAATAGACAAGCCACCGAAAAATACAAATTTTAGGGGTGCATTTTTTTTAGGTTAGGGTCAGGATTAAGATTATATTAAACGAGTATAAGTGGGTTTTTAGAGGGTTAAATAGAAACCTCAAATTTCATTTTAATCATTTAAATCCGATTTCACTATGATCTGCGACAATAATAATTGTCGCTAGCCTTCTAAAACCCATTAATACTTGTTTATTATGATTTTTTTTAAAGCTAACCCTAAAAAATGCACCCCAAAAAAATTTAGGTTTCGAGATTTTATACTATCATTTCATTTTAATCTGGATTTCATTATGATCTGCGACAATAATAAAAAAAGATTTCGTTACGTGCAACCAACGTGACATAGCGTGGCGGCCATGAGGATGTTTTTTGTTTTTTACAAAAACCTTTAAAACATTGGCATTTGAGTTTGAGAATGAAATAGGTTAATTTCTGTACCGGAATTTAAGTTCATAATATCGTTTCTAGAAAATATTCATACGAAAAAAATTCTAAGATCTTAAAAATGCATTACATTTAAGATGCAGAACTGTCAATTTCAAATTAAAGCTTTTTTACTAAGGCGCGTTAAAATGTATTAAACCCATTTTAAACCAATCAGTCATGTTTTAAATCATTTACTATCCATCAATTTTAATTCCGTCACCCATGTCACGTTGGTTGTACGTAGCGGAATTTTTTTTGTGACCTACCTATGTTTCTCACACATGTGTAAAAAATTCACCTTGAGATTAATTAATCAATATTACGCTAAAACCGGCAGAGCCACCGGGACTATAAACATCCATATTATATTTTATAATGATCGCATGATGATGCATCATGACTATAACTGCAAACATTTGAAAGGTCTGAGGTAGTGACGTCACTACGTCACTCTTACGTCATATAAAATTGAGGTAGTGACGTCAATACGTCACTCTATGCCCCTGCCTGATGTTCTAATGTCTGCGGCTCTAATCATGACACATCATGTACGCGCTAGTACTAAAACAGTATAAAATGTTGCCTTCAATTTTTGTTTAAATAATTTCTTTGTGCTTTATTTATAAGTAAAATTCAAACGAAGTTATAACTTATATTATACAACTTTTTATTTCAGAGTAACTAAAGTCTGCGAGGGTTCGAATCCCTCCTTCTCCTACGTTAAAGGAATTTTTGATATCATACTCTTGTATATTTACGGGTTGTTTTAGTAAAAACCCAATACTAAATTAATAATTAAGATTACAATAGCCCATCACTTTCCTTCGACCTCTTTGAACAATGTTGACAGATCCTGATGTTTCCCGTACAAGAACTCGAGATTCGTTTAACCAATGGTTCCACAACATTCTCTGAGTGGGGAGCCTCATAACTTATCAAGATCAAATGTCTTTTCAACTCCAATTCCATGATTATGACTATATTCATCATCCGTTATTCCACAAGCATTACCTATCTCTTCAGATTTTTGACATCACCATTCGACTTCTCGAAGAGTCTTTATTGGTCCGACTCGGGCAAATTGAAATTATAAAAAAAAGTCTTTATGGTTCTCTAAAAGTGAAAAGGCTGTACATCATGGTACAAGAAGAAGAAAAACTTTAGAGCTGAATCTGATGTTGTTGGACCAAATAATATGACTTCTCTCGATTATAATACCTCTGATGATCAAAGGTAATAATTATTTGATATTATATTTTTTTTTTAATGTCATCTCTTAACATATTTCTTAACATATTTTGAAATATAGCAAAAAGCCAAAATAAGATAACTGATGCACCTTTCCTTGTTGAAGAACCACAAGATGTGGAAGAGTTAGAAATTACAGAATCAGATGTGAACTGTCCAACAATGATCAGAGAGGTCTTTTAATACTCCATCCGAAAATATGAAAAAATACCCAGTTACACCACCACACAATCCTCGTTTGCTTAATTCAAAAAGTCATCATTCTCAGACATTACCATTACATTTACATCCAACTCTTTCGGTTGTTAACTCTACTCTTGAAGAAGATAACAGTCAACATGATGATGCTTCAATATCATCAATAAATTTGTCAAATATTCCTATAAATCATGATGAATTAAATGATCCGAATTCTGATGCAAATAATGCTAATGTTAATTCAGATGCTGGGTATTTTGATATTCCTGTTTATTAACCAGGAACTATCATCGAAGAGGATTGTATATTGATTAGGATCGAGCGTGTATATCATTCAGGTGTTCCAAGAATGTATAATGAATCTACTTCAAGGCATATTTCACTAATTCCTCAGGATGGAGAGAATATAATGTGAAGTTAAAACCTGATAGAATTGAGTTTTATAAAAATAAGGTAAATCTTACGATAAATTTTTATATTATTTTCAAAGTTTTTGAAAAATTTATTACAATCAAAAAAAATCGTGTTTTAATGGTTCTAATTTTTCAGAAAAAAGCTGTTGATCAACTGATTTTTTCTTCTTCAACTCGGTTATCTCTCTATTCACCAGTCGATTACACATTAGATTTGGCTACTCCAAATGATTACGGAATGAAAGTATTGATATTTCGACCAAAAACTTATTTCTAAGTGTTGGATGGTATCGTGCTTTATATAATTTGCTTACGGAACCATCCGTGAAACCATTACCTTCTGTTTGTGATGTAGTTGTACCTGATCTGGATGTTTGAGTACAAATTCCGTTAAAAGATGTAAGGCAAGCATTCAAAATTGCTGCTGAAAAAATAACTAATACTGTTTTGGATGAATTGAGTGGTATAAACGAATTGGAGGATGTGTTGAATGAATGGTTACAAAATAGTGATATGAGATTATGTTGGAAAAGATATGATCGGATAGAATGGATTGTTTGGGAGAAAAATGATGATGATGAAAAAGATAGAAGTGATTTATTAGCGTGTCCTCAATTTATTGAAAGGGTATGGTTTTATTTTATTTTATTTTATTTTATTTATATCGAATTTTGTTTATCAAAATTACGTATTTTTAAATATATTATCCCTTTCATATTCATTTTAATAGACCCATTAACTACAATTACGGTGCACAGAACATTATCCAAAATCCGTAACGCTACCTGATGAAACAAAGTTGCAGGTATACACACATAATCGTTTGATTTAATGTTGATTTAATCTTAATTTATTTATTTTGACAACTATCCACAATTAATTTTGTCAATTATTCGTGACTTAGGAACCACCACCAGTTGAAGGATATCTTATTAGAGTTACAAACGAAAAAGGTTGTAAAAACAGGTCAAAACGACTGTACTTTTCATCAAATGATTATTATTTGTTTTTTTTTTTTTTTTTGAAACCGTTCATCGCAAGTCCACCACCACCACCATCATCGTCACTTGAAGCTGGTTCTGGTTCTTGTTCTGGCTCGATGGAGGACGATAAAACAAATCATAAACGACCATTAATATATGCTGTTTCTCCACATGCTTAAGGACCACAATACGTAGATGCTTTTCTTAAGGCGAATAGTAAAAGACGGATTAAACAAATTATAAACGCATACGGATTCATTAATTTGATTGATGTCAAAGAAGTAAGATCTTTAATGGACGATAATAGTGAGGATGCTTGTGAAAATGATCACGCAGAAGATCAATCTAAAGAGCCTAAATCTGAAGGAAAAGGTTGTCCTTTTGAACTGGTCATGATGAATGGAATGTCTATTGTTTTGGAGGTTGTCTATTTGAATGTCAAATATTTTATCCCGCTAGTTCACGATTTATTTATTATTTTTAACATCATTTCATTATTTTATTGTTTTATTATTGTTTCATAATTGTTATAGGGAAAGAATGGGTAAATTGTCTCGATGCGTTTATCAAATATTGGAAAGCTCGAGTTGCTGATGACGTAAAAATTCAAATTAATACTTTTAAAATAAATCAGTTTAATAATTATGATGATAATAGCGCAAATATAGGTGATGGTATTCGTGGAAATTGGGATAATTTTCGATCATATGCCAATCCTACAATTTGGCACTGGTGTATTCTAAATGGATGTCTAGGTATTACGGTAAGGTGTTTATTGTCGAGGATAATGTCGATGATCAATTAATGGGGTTTTTTTAATTTCAACTTCATTTCTAAAATTTTCAACCTCATCCACGACATTTATTAAAAATTCTATTCTAAAAAAATAGGGTTTGTAATATTCTTTTAATTTAAAATTCTTTATAGAAATCCGGATTATTACATCAAAAATTTCATAATTATGGTACATTTAATAATTATTATCATGCCTTAACAAGAGGTTACTTAATATTTTATCGACTTTATTCTTTGATCGACAACTGGAAGAAAAAATCGCCGGTGTTATCATAGGCGGAAAGGCACCATCAATCTATTAGATTGTTATGTATACTCGGGTCAAATAACTTGTCCTATTCCAGAAATTTAAATCGTGTAAGCACTGAGATGCAAAATTTTCCAAGAATATACAGTGATGGAATGTGTTGTTTTGATGAAGATGATGAATGTACATTAGTTGTTTGGCAAGGTAATAAACATCATGTAATCAAAAGATCTGGAGCTATTGGTGTGGAATTTCGAAAAAAAGCAACGTTAGATTCTGTTGGTAAAGTTATGATATTTTGAGCTAGGAATAGGAGTGAAAGAGAAGAATGGGTTTGGCGTTAAATGTTGAAATTGAAAGGTGCTTGATGGAA